GTGAGTCACTTCGCCCCCTGTAACCGCGCGCTTCACGGTTCGCATCGCTCTTCTTTTTTTACGTGTCCTTGTGCAAGACACTTCTCGTTTCCTGTCAGAGTGTGAACGGGAAGGAAGGAGGACCCGACGTGTGAAGAAACTTGTACCAGCACTTGTAGGTGTCGTAAACTCCGCTGGCGTTTCTCTTCGCGTTCGCAGACTCGATGTTTTTGAAAGAAATCTCCAGACGTCTTCTCGTTATTTGTTTGGATTTAGCTCCACAAACTTTGAACAAACAATTAAACGTGTCACTTAAAGGTTCTATGTGAGATTTAAGTCACGTTCTGATGCTTTTTTCTCCTCAAAAACAAAGCTGGAGTTGTTTTGTTTCGTGTGAATGAAACAAAACACAACTCCAGGTCTGTGTTGGGCAAGTGACTTTAAAACTGTTACTGTGTTTTTATTTATGACGTGTTTCTGTTATTTTAAAGTGATTCGTTACATTACAATATTACTGTGTTTAAACTGTAAAATATTATATGAATATTACAGAACTTTTAAGTTACTCTCAACAGAAGAACTGAAGATGCTGAACTTTTGTGCCGTATATGAACTGAACAAGGTCTAAACCAGGACTAAACCAGAGCTGAACCAGGACTAAACCAGCACTAACCCAGGTCTAAACCGGGTCTAAACCGGGCCTAAACCGGGCCTAAACCGGGACTGAACCAGGACTGAACCAGGACTAGAGAAGACTGAACCAGGACTAGACCCCAGGACTAGACCAGGAGTACATAAGGACTGGATCAGGACTAGAATGGGACTAGACCAGGTCTGAACCAGGTCTGAACCAGGTCTGAACCAGGACCGAACCAGGACCGAACCAGGACCGAACCAGGACCGAACCAGGACCGAACCAGGACCGAACCAGGACTAAACCATCACTAATCTTGGACTAGAACTTGGAAGCGATCAGCTGTTCTTCGCCTCGTTGAGCGTCGGTTCTGTGTCGGTCTTTTCGCTCGTAGTCACTCGACGGTCTACACGGGCGAGTCTCTGGTGTTTCATCGTTGTTGATGTCGCCGTGATTTTAGTGAATTTATATGAAGAAAAACTAAAAACCCACCACTTCAATCCAGGTTAAAATGCTTTGTGACGCGCTCACTCACATTTGTACACAGTAAAATATTAAACATTTTTTCCGTGTAACGTCACATTACTGCGTTACAACAAAAAAAGAACACATTACAGTAATTTGTTGTTTTTATAAAGAGTTTCTCCAAACTCTGGTGATGAGGAAACAACATTAGAACAGATCTGAGGTCAGAGGATGATGAAACGTTTAAACACTCGCGTCTTTGAGGTTTCTGAAACTTTTGTCAGAAAATCCTGTGACTTTAGTTTTATTTCTTGTGACAGTGACAGGTTGAACTTTGTGTCAGTTTTTGTTTCATGTGGAGAGTTTGAGGAGATCTGAACCATAAACCAGGTCACACGTGCACCTCACAGTTGCCACGTTTACATGAGAACTTTAACTCTGAATACAAATAATTTAACGTGTTTTTTTAACCATAAGTCGCACCAGCCAAAAAATGCATAATGAAGAAGAAAAAAACTGACTTTAAAACTATAAATGTGTTTTTATTTATGACGTGTTTCTGTCATTTCAAAGTGATTCGTTACATTACAATATGACGGTGTTTAAAATGTAAAATATTACACGAATATTACAGAACTTTTCATTTACTCTCGACAAAATAACTGTGAAGATGCTGAACTTTTGCGCCGTATATTGACTGAACCAGGACTGGACCAGGACTAAACCACGACTAGACCGGGACTGGACCGGGACTGGACCAGGACTGGACCAGGACTGGACCAGGACTGGACCAGGACTAGACCAGGACTAGACCAGGACTAGACCAGGACTAGACCAGGACTAAACCAGAGCTTAACTAAGACTGGACCGGGACTAGACCCCGGGACTAGACCCCGGGACTAGACCCCGGGACTAGACCCCGGGACTAGACCCCGGGACTAGACCCCGGGACTAGACCCCGGGACTACATAAGGACTGGATCAGGACTACATAAGGACTGGATCAGGTCTGGATCAGGTCTGGATCAGGTCTGGATCAGGTCTGGATCAGGTCTGGATCAGGTCTAAACCAGGTCTAAACCAGGTCTAAACCAGGACTAAACCAGGACTAAATTAGGACCAAACCAGGACCAAACCATGACTAATCTTGGACTAGAACTTGGAAGTGCCTTGCAGACAGGGTGTCTGTAAGGTGCGATCAGGCGTCAGCTGCTCTTCACCTGATGGTCTACGTGGGCGAGTCTCCGGCGTTTCACCGCTGCTGATGTCGCCGTGATTTTAGTGAATTTGTATGAAAAAAAACTAAAAACGTGGCCAGTTACAGTAAACTCCACCTGAGGATTCGTTTTATTTAGCTGCTGGATGAGTCTGGAATGTTTCACAGTGCGGCATTAAACCTTTCTATCTTCACGGAGACCAAACTGGACCTAGTTACACACCAGATCTGTGGAGAGGCGACCCATGCTTACAGTCAGAATGTCTAGTTTTGTGTTTTTCTAGTGATTTTTGAGCTCTAAAACCTCCTGTATCTGAGTAAATGTAAAATGGAGCTGTTGTTTAATGTCACACTGTGGAACATTCCAGGAGGACGCAGTGACGTCTCCATAGAAACGGCCAGAAAGTGACAGAGTGCAGCTTTAAACTTACTGTAGATTAGTTGTGTTTGTGTGCGTTTCTGTGTTTTGGAGAGATCTGGTTTCGCTTCCTGTTTGTGGGTCATACGATGATGCCTCACGAACTTGCTACTTCCTGTTTCTCCGCTCTGCTCGAAAACGTGCTGCTTTTTTTTTTTTTACGTAGAAATTGTGTCGTAACGCGTTAAATCAGCAGAATGTCACTGTCCTCTTCAGAAATTACTCAGAAATTCCACATCTTTACATGAAATCCTTGAATCATTTTTAGACTTTACCCCAAATTTGCTCAAGAGCTTCACATAATTTTACGTTTTTTTTTAGACCATTTCCTGTAATTTTCCACATTAGATGATCGTTGTGACACTGTAAATAACTGTTGAGTCGTAGTTGTTATGATTTATGCACAATATGATCAAATATCAAATGTGATCAGAAACTAGATTCTCTCTAGACAGTGACAAACAAGACAAAATGATGGTGCTGTTCAAAAATGCAGAGTTTTATTGAGACATTTATACAATATTTACAGTTTCAAATGCACTTTAATGGAATTAGAGAAAGATCTGACACAATAAATGCAGTAAAAAGTTGATGTAGGACGGCGAGAAGCGCGAGAACCTCCACACATGCCAGAGTTAAGATGTGATCCTGATCGTCCATGTTCCAGGAGGGACTCTAAGCTCCTGTTCACACGAGAACGCTTGTGGGGAAAAAATGACAAAATATTTTATGTTTTGCCATTTTTTTTTTTTTTGCCATTTTATTAATATTTACGTGTCTTTTGTTCATGATGTTTTTGAAGCTTAAAAACGCAAAAATCTGAAACCACCTCCAGAGTGTTGTGTGTATCAGGTCCCTCCCCTGGTGTGTGTGTGTGTGTCTGTGTGTGTCAGGTCCCTCCCCATGTGTGTGGTGTGTGTCTGTGTGTGTCAGGTCCCTCCCCTGGTGTGTGTGTGTGTGTGTGTCTGTGTGTGTCAGGTCCCTCCCCATGTGTGTGGTGTGTGTCTGTGTGTGTCAGGTCCCTCCCCGTGTGTGTGTCAGGTGTCCTCCCCGTGTGTGTCAGGTGTGTCTCCCCGTGTGTGTCAGGTGTCCTCCCCGTGTGTGTCAGGTGCCCTCCCCCTGTGTGTGTGTGTATGTGTCTGTGTGTGTCAGGTCCCTCCCCATGTGTGTGGTGTGTGTCTGTGTGTGTCAGGTCCCTCCCTGTGTGTGTCAGGTGTCCTCCCCGTGTGTGTGTGTCTGTGTGTGTCAGGTGCCCTCCCCGTGTGTGTCAGGTGCCCTCCCCGTGTGTGTCAGGTGTCCTCCCTGTGTGTGTGTCTGTGTGTGTCAGGTGCCCTCCCCGTGTGTGTCAGGTGCCCTCCCCGTGTGTGTGTCAGGTGCCCTCCCCGTGTGTGTGGTGTGTCAGGTGTCCTCCCCGTGTGTGTGTGTCTGTGTGTGTCAGGTCCCTCCCCGTGTGTGAAACGCTCCTCTCTTTTGGCGTTGGTCGTCTTTCTTTCTCGTCTTCCTCTCGCGGCTCTGACAAAGTGACACCCCTGCGTCTGTGTAAAGGTGTGTGTGTGTCAGGTCCCTCCTCATGTGTGAAAGGTGTCGGTCTTTTGGCTGTGCTCGTCTTCTCTTCCTCTCGCGGCTCTGACATAGTGACACCCCTGCGTCTGTGTAAAGGTGGGTGTGGGACGTCGGCCAATCAGAGCGCTGCGTTTGGGGACAGGCCTCCGGTTGTCATGGAGACGGGGGAACTGTCTGGAAAAGTGTTTTAAGATGGACACAAAACTAGAACTGTGACAAGTTCAGAAAAAATATAATAAACCTGTAATTTTTTATCAGGATTATGATTAGAAACAAACGGAGACATTTCGGAAAAACAAAAGAATCTAACATTTATCAAAATACAATTTAAAATAACAATACCAATAACAAAACCCTTTTATTTATATTTTGGCCAATTTATAATGTAACTTTTCTCTTTTTCTAAATTTTTTAATAAACACTTTTAGTCACTGTACTTATAAACAAATATGACTTTCACAATTATCATTTCCTTTCATTATATTTAATTTTTTACTATGATCTTAAAGCAGAATTTTAATGGCATTTTATTTTTCTCACCCCCGTCTTTTTTCTTAATGGTCCCGGAACTGAACTGAAACTGCTGACCTTTTTTCTGTACCATTTTTGGTTCTAAAGTTCCATCCGTTTTAAACAGACCATGTATGAAACATGGAACAAAAATTATTTCCCAAATTTCAAAGACAAATCATGTAAATAAATTGATGTATTTCATCATATCTTGTG